TGATTGATACACAAATAATTATTTTAAAAATATGTTTTCTGGTGGAGAAACTTGTGGGTGTGGCTATAAATTAATGGGGCGTGTCCCAGAGATGACTCACCATAGCTTACAGCCTGCTGGGCTGAAAGGGGTTTTCTCCACCAAAAACATTTTAATACCCGCTCCTGCTGCCTCAACTCATCACAGCCTCTCCCTACAGATAAGCTGTTCTACATTGGCTACATAACTGAAATTTGATACATGAATGGGGGCATGGAGTTTGCCCCGTAATATAGACCAATATTCTTCAACAGAGCAAGCCAGGGCACATAAGACATAATACTTATATTTCTTTTATTTATTTCTTTATTCAACTTTTATACCGCCCTTCCGCTGAAGCGGCTCAGGGCAGCTCACAACATTAATAAAACCAACATAGATAAAACGTTAATCCATAAACAACTTACATAAATACAATAAATATAAGTAAAAGCGGTTCGGTAAATCATTACGACTGGACCTCGACCACATTGTTAACTATTTATACAAAATACATGTCTTAGGAGGTCGGCAGGCTTGGCTGGCATACCATTGCTCTCACTGGTATGCCCGGCAGAAAAGCTCCGTCTTCACGGCCCTGTGAAATTGCTGGAGATCTCGCAGGGCCTGGATCTCACTAGGGAGCTCATTCCAATATGCTGGTGCGCTAGCGAAAATGCTCTAGACCTAGTTGTTGTCAACCTGGCCTCTTTAGGGCCAGGAAGGATCAGGCAATGTTGCATCCAGATCTCAGTGCTCTCTGGGGAACATACAGGGAAAGGCAGGTCCCTGACCATATAGGGCTTTAAAGGTCAAAACCAGCACCTTGAAGTGGATTCAGAAAGCTATTGGCAGCCAGTGCAACGCCTTTAGCACAGGCTGGATGTGCTCCCGCATTGGGAGGCCCATCAACAGCCTGGCCGCCGCGTTTTGCACCAGCTGCAGCTTCCGAAGTTGCCCCAAGGGCATCCCCATGTAGAGAGCATTGCAGTAATCCAACCTCGAGGTGACCAAAGCATGGATCACTGACGCCAGATCTTTGCGCTCGAGGAAGGGAACCAACTGCCTAATCAGCCGAAGATGGTAGAAGGCTGTCGTAACCAGTTGATAGTGGATTTTCCCAGGTACTTTTAAACTCTGCTTCTTTGGCTAACTGCTACAGGTTGCTGACGGGTGCAGGACGCTGGCCAGATGTGTCCATATGATCGCGCCAGTAAAATACGGCTGGCATTTGTGTGTATGCCATGGCAAATTCTGTGTGTGATTGGGGCCCATGTTTCCTGGGAGTAAGCAGTGAAGTGGCTAAATTTGCGGATGATACAAAGTTGTTCAGGGTGGTGAAAACCAGTGAGGATTGTGAGGCACTCCAAGGGGATCTGTCAAGGATGGGCGAGTGGGCGTCAACATGGCAAATGGGGTTCAATGTGGCCAAGTGCAAGGTGATGCACATTGGAGCCAAAAATCCTAAATATAAATACACATTGATGGGGTCTGAACTGGCAGAGACTGAGCAAGAGAGAGATCTTGGAGTTGTAGTGGATAACTCACTGAAAATGTCGAGACAGTGTGTGACTGCAATAAAGAAGGCCAATGCTATGCTGGGGATTATTAGGAAGGGTATTGAAAACAGATCAGCCAATATAATAATGCCCCTATATAAATCAATGGTAAGACCTCATTTGGAATACTGTGTGCAGTTCTGGGCACCACACCTTAAAAAGGATATTATAGCTTTGGAAAAAGTGCAGAAAAGGGCAACTCGAATGATAAAAGGGTTGGAACACTTTCCCTATGAGGAAAGGTTAAAGCGCTTAGGGCTCTTTAGCTTGGAGAAAAGACGACTGAGGGGTGACATGATCGAGGTTTATAGGATTATGCATGGGAAAGAGCAGGTAAAGAAAGAGGTACTTTTCTCCCTTTCTCACAATACAAGAACTCGTGGGCACTCCATGAAACTGCAGAGCGGTCGGGTTAGAACGGATAAAAGGAAGTACTTCTTCACCCAAAGAGTGATTAACACATGGAATTCACTGCCACAGGAAGTGGTGGGTGCTACAAGCATGGACGGCTTCAAAAGGGAATTAGATAAGCATATGGAGCAGAGGTCCATCAGTGGCTATTAGCCACAAGGTATAGCTAGGGGCTCTGGTGCAAGTGATGCTCTGTCTTCTTGGTGCTTGGGGGGGGTCAACAGTGGGAGGGCTTCTAATGTCCTGGCCCCACTGCTGGACCTCCTGATGGCACTGGTATTTCTGGCCACTGTGTGACACAGAGTGTTGGACTGGATGGGCCTTTGGCCTGATCCAACATTGGCGTCTCTTATGTTCTTATGTTCTTTGCAGAGGTTAATGTCCTTCTCTTCTTTCCCTTGTTCAGGTTCTCTACTTAACTACACAGTATTTTGGTTTATACTTTTTTGTTACAATTAATAACTTGTCAGAACTACTGTCTTAACTACATCCCACAGTATGTGGTTTTGCACTGCTCATCTGTGGGAATTCCCAGTTGGGAAATGTACAGTGCAGGCAGAACTCCTGCAGGGATAGCTAATTGGTAGTTGTGTGTCCCACAGCACAGTTCCACATAAGTGACATGGAAATAATACGTGTACAACAGCACTACTGTGATCTTGCTCAGCCATCGGAGTTAAATTGTTATAATTGAGTTCTGGGCCAGGAGCAAGCCACTAGGAGTAGTAGCTTAGACAAAGGGGACAGGAAATTGCCAAGCAGCATCATTTGCTGTTTCTCAACCCTAATTTTGAGTGCAGTTGTCAACTTGGTATTAATGCCCTTGTGTGAGCTGTTTTATAGTGCTTTGCGTGGGTGAGTTTTTGGTTGTTTTTTTCTTAACTGAAACAATGAAAGGATGTAGCTGACATTCACAATAGCTTTTAGGCGTTGCAGCAATCCTAGTGATATTTTCAGTGGAACTTAAGCTTTCAAATTATATTTCGTTGACTGGACTGTAAAAATAATGCTTACAGAAATATATTTATCATCCCAAAGAAGATTACTTTTGCACTGATTTATAGTTTTGTATATAGTAATTAAAATCCACAATAATAAAAAAAGATTTGCATTTGAAATATTTTTATGTCAATAGTTTTTCTGGATAGTAGTATCATTGGTGGAAAGAGATGACCATAGCAACAGGCGAGCCATTGGGGTAGTGGCTAGATGGGGACCAAGATAGTTTCAGTGGAAATTCCTGGTCAGCCATAGTAGCAAACCTAACAGGATCTTGCGATGGTAAAATGGAATGACTTGTACATAATCCCGAGCTTCTCAGAGGAAAGGCCAAACTTAAAAAAATGAGAAGAATAAAGAAGTGGTAGCTGTCTGTTTAGCAATATTAATTCTGACAGCATTTTAGTATCAATAGCAATGTAATTTTCTGTTCTGACTGGGCCATGCTGCTTTCTTTTGTTGTTTGCTATTATTTAATTTTTATTTTGATTCATCATGAACTTTTTAAAACCACCGTGAAGATTTTAATTGAAAAGTAGGACATAAATGTCATCATCCAAATATGATTCCAACAATTCATCTAAAGAAAGTCACATTTTAAAAGTAATTGTATACTTATGTATTAATACATTAACTGAAACATGTGTTCTTAGAAGTAATCCCTATGGATTCCACAATTTGAATTTACTGCCTGATTATTTGTACTTGCATGTATACTGAAACAATGAAAGGATATTGGTGATATTACCATGTATTGCCCAGTGCTCATATTTTATACAGAGGGGGGGCACATTGAGATGGCTGTTGACATTGTTCAACATATGAGCCACCATGTATAGAACACTCTTTCGATCACCTGGAAATAAATCCCAATGGAATCAATGGGATTGATTTCCAGGTAATCTAGGGTGCCTGTTCAAAACAATTAAACTAGAATAGTAGCACTTCTGATGTGGTAATTCTTTATAAAGTGAAAATGCTTTCTTCAGATCAATAGACAAAAGCAAATTAACCCTCAAATAGCTGTAGCAGTGAATAATAATTTACCATGTACAAAAAAGTAGAATGTCAATAATTGCAATTATGTGATATAATATAGATAGATAGATACTAAATAATTACAGATAATTCCAAGGCAGTAAGTCCATATAAATGAAAAATATTAATCATAACATTTACAAATCTAACAATTATTCTTAGAGCTATAGTGTTATTTTAAGTATAATTACTATGTGAGCAATAGTGCATGTAATTAATGCGTAATTGCATGGAATTTGCTTTCACAACGACACCTTGCCCTTGTTTAAAGCTTTTTGTCATAACAGTTGAGTGTAAAGGAAACTCAAATTGGTCCCCAGATACAACATGTTACAGCCCATTATAATTGTTTTCACTAGAACAATGCTTTCCATACACAATTATTAAAAGTATCCACCTTTTCCCGAGCAAGCCACAAAAAGAGTGACAATATTTGAAATTTATATTACGAGGCTGATAAAGTATCAGTCATTTTTGAAAAGTAAGTTTTTGTTAGCTATCACAAGTCAGTTTTGAAGCTCCTTGTCTTTTTTTCTGGCTCAGATGTGAAATGGTTCTGTAACTAAACAAAACTGTAATGGTGGTTTATAGGTCCTCAGTGAGTAAGAAACACTAACATTCCATTAAATATAATCTCCTTTTTAATCCTCATCACATACCCACTGTCTTCCTGGAAGAGCATTTTAAAAGAATCAGTATGTCAGTTCAACACAGTACTTAAAAGGTCTGATTAGCACAATGGCTTGCAGCAGAAGGGAGCTCTGTAGCTCTTCTTTGGAAAAGTATAATGTAAAAAAATAATATTCTAACCATCAGAACTTGTATTCCATATAGTTCCATATGTAATACAAGATTGGGTTTTTTAAACATTCTATTTATTTTGCCCAAATATCACGTTTCTAAAACAGTATTTTATGTGGCTTTATTTTCCAGGTTTTAACTGGCAAGATGATTACACACAACACATTATTGCCCGTGAGCTCTCAAACCTCCGTAAGATCCATGACTGGCACTCTGAAACATTCTCATCAGAGGAGTCAGATGCACCAAGGTAAATTTTCAGTGATTTTATGTACCATTATTATTTACATTTTGTGCTTTTTTTTTATCCTGTTTTTCTCCCTGATCAGGATGAGGACCCAAAGCAGCTTTTCACATTCCTCCCCACATCCTCACAACAACAACCATGTGACGGAAGGATAGGTTAAGAGATGGTGGCGAGCTCAAGGTCACCCAATAGGCTTCCTGAGCTAAGTGGGGAATTCAAACCTGCTTGTCTCAGGTCCTAGTCTGACATTCTAACCACTACACCATGCCAGCCCTTCTGACTTGTACTATGATGATGATTATGGGGGATGGAAATCTTTCAAAACCCAAACACCGTTCCCAACATGGTGAAGAACCAAAATGACAAGCGTGACTATAACCAACAAACTGAGTTTGGATGTTTTTGTTTAGGAATTCAAAAGTGCCTTTTAGGTGCAACATGTTTTATTTCTGGCCTGCAGTGATTCCTTCCCAGGATATCATGGCATCTTGGAATTAGTTCATTTTATTTGTTCAAAAAGGTTTTAACAACCTTTCCTTCAAAATGAAAGTGAAGGCACTATATATCTTTTTTGAGAAATGCAATACCAAAATTAAAGCAACGTTACACTAATAAATTTAAATACATAGTTAAATCTCCATCAGGTAGGGTTGCCAACTTCTAGATGAGTTTATATCCAGATATTCATTGAGAATGATGGACCTGTAATATTGCCAAGTTTTACAATATAATATGATTCTTACTTAACATGAGTTTTCATCTATATCACAGTATCTGTTTGTTTGTTGCGTTTCCTATACCTGTGATCCCTTCTTGGTTTTTTCAGCTTCTAAGTGGAACCTGGAGTTCCTTTTGGAACTACAGATGATCTCCAGACTAAAGAGATCAACCCCCCTGGAGAAAATAGCCGTTTTGGAATATGGATTCTGTGGTATCACATCCCTGCTGAGCTCCCTCCCCTGCCCAAATCTGCCCTACCAGGGCTCCCCCCCCCCAAATCTCCAGGAATTTCCTAACACAGAGTTGGCAACCCTACCATCAGTAGAGATTCAAAACTCACCTGTTCAAAAGATCTGCAAATGTCTGTTGGATTTTTTTTAAAAAGTCTTTACTTTTTCTTCTAAAGATGGGCTGTGAATAAGTTTGTTAACTTCCTGGTGGAACCTGGAGATCTCTCAGAATTATGACTGACCTTCAGACTACAAAGATCAGTTCCCCTGGACAAAATGGCTTCTGTGGAGGGTGGACTCTGGCACTATAACCTGCTGAGGTCCCTCCCCTCCCCCCCAAATTCGGCCCTCCCAAGCTCCACCCCCAGAATCTCCAGGAATTTTGCAACTAGGTGTTGGCAACACTAGCCATGAAGGAATTTGGCAGAGTTCTTTTGTGGCATGGGGGAAGGCAGTCCAGAGATAGCCCTGCTCAGGGGTCATTTAGTAGAAAAAGAGGTGCAGGAGCTCATTAGCATCACTCATTAGCATAACTTATTTGCATATGCCACACACCCTGACATCACCGGAAGTGTGTCAGAAGGCAACACCCACCACTCAGGCTCCACTGGACTGTTTTGGATTACTAGGTATTGGGGGGGGGGAAACGTGCAGATCTGCCCTCACAGAGGAGGGAGAGCTTGTACCTGAAGGCGGGCTGGGGGTGGGGCTCTGAAACTTACCTGGCTGCTTCTTGCTGCTCGTGGCCCAACTGAGGGCTGCTGGGAGCAGGGGGCGGGGCTTGTTGCATGTGCCCGCCCCCTGGGCTCCTTACTGCCGGAGCTCTGCTCCTGTGCGCTCCTGCAGGAAATGACCCCTGGCCCTGCTCCATCCTTCTAATTGAGCCAACAATTTGACATAGGGGCTCTTCATAGTATGCGCCTCCTAGACCAGAGGGTATGTAGGAAATCCATGATTAATAAAAGACAGAGAGTCTCTCTCCCCCCCCCCATCTGTCTGTCTGTATATTGTCATAGAGAAGCAACACAACAGTTCTTTTCAGCACACTTGTATATCCTTTTCTGTTCTGCATCTTCATTGAAAAAAAGAGAGTATAGCTTCAGGATATAACATCTCTAGTAGGTATTTCCTGCTACCATTGGAAGTTAAAAAAAAATCATAGTATGAACTAAATCTCAGCAGAAATTCTTGTGATAAATGAGGGGTTCAATCATGTAAGGGACACCCTAAAGAAAAAGTAAATGTAATGTTTTATTGCCAAAACTGTATTCCCCTGCTTCCCCAGATGCTCCCAACTTTACTGCCTCAGCTCTTTTCAGCCTTCAGGGATCCTTTGCAAACCCACATCTAAACTACAAGTATCACCACAATCCTTTTAAAGTACAAATACCTCTCATCACAGAGGGTCTGCTAAGTTGTCTTTCTTGCATTTATGAAAATCCAATATCTGTTCAGTGTTAAAACATGCCCATTCAGGGTTTTTTCCTGTAAATTACCTACTGCTGAATAATATGTAGAGTTGATTGATACAGTAGCTATTGATGAAATACAAAAATATTGGTGACAAACAGCTAGAGCCTATAGATTTTAAACTGGTTATTATTTTAATTTATGCACTTTTGTATTTTTATTACATAGGTAACATTTTTTCCCTTTCATTTTGATATGCAGGACGTCAAAGCAGAATGTGGATAGTAGCAGGAGGAAGTTGGGTCTGGACAAAGATGTGAACTTTGCTAAATCTCCTCAGCAATACCTTGCTTACTTGGATATTCTGTCTCAGTCTGGAACTCCAAACTTATATTCAAGGATAAAGGGCAACAAAGCCACTGTTAAGGTGAAATCTTCAAAGTGTTCTTTTAAAGGTTTCAGAATGTTCCCCCCATCCCTCTTTCCATTTTTTTTCCTTTCTTCTTTCATTCCTCTGTTAGATTTTGATACTGATGTAAAGCTATAAAAATAAAATAACAATAGCTACTGAAAAAGGAGAAGGCGATAAGGCTGGCATATCACAGTAGTTAAGAGCATGAGTTCTGAAATAAAAGTCTTTGGGTGAAATCTGTGCTCAGCAAAAACACAAGAGATAGCTCTGCAATTATCAAAATAAACTTGAATAAGCTGCGCAGAGGAAAAAACAGTTGTTCGAAGAATTATGGAGATTAAGTAGATAAAGTGCTCTAAGCACACATGAAAAATGCTTTATAAATACTGTTACATTTTGGTACCTTTCATATTTTAGTTTTCATTCATTTGTGAAGAGCATAATGTGTAGTTATAAAGGCTACAGAGAAAAGCTGGATAGCATGTAAGTGATGTCTAATAAAATTGCAAATACTGGAGTAAGAAAATGGGACTTTAGTGTCACCATTTTAGTTATGTTTCTCACTACTCTTTCCCAGGATTATTTATTTCCCTGCCCTCAGTAGTTGATGGCTACATATTACTGACCTTTAAGCCATTCTTTCTTTCTAGGTTTGCCAACTCTGGGTTGGGAAATACCTAAAGATTTTGGGGGTGGAGCCTGGGGGGGCATGGGGAGGGGAGGGACCTCAGCAGGTGTATAAAGCATAAAGTCCACCCTCCAAAGGAGCCATTTTCTCCAGGAGATAGGTTTGCCATTCCCCTGGGGTGTGTGGAAGTTTGCCCACTTTTAGGGCCCCTGATCTGCCGACCCCAATCCAGCTGGTGGAGGGAAACCTGCCCCTGAAGTGCCGTGTTCAGGCCAACGTGCCTAGCACAATGACATCACCTGAGCATGTTGCAGGAGGACGCTCTATCGTTTGAGGAAAAACTCTGTGGTTTTTCCTCGAATGACAGAGACCCCACCCACAATGTGCCCTGCTTGATGGCGTCACTTCCGGGTGACGTCATTGTGGCATGTGCGCAAAGCATGTGCACTGAAGATCTTCAGGCCTGGGACCCCCCACTGGCCGCCAGATAAGACCTGGCAACCATACCAGGAGATCAATTATAATAGGGGGAGATCTCCAGGTGCCACCGGAGGGTTGGCAACCCTATTTTCTTTTACTGCTTGAGGGAAGCTTACATGAGCTGTTGCATTCTGCCAAGATCCATTCGGAAGTATGCTCTATGATCCAACAGAGTTCTTTATGGCTACTTTACAGCAGTTTTGCAGCATTGCAAGCCAGTAAGGGTAGCGTTGCTTTCCTGTCAGTAGCTAGCTGTTAGCTTCATTTTAAGGTCTCAGGACTGAGCGGGGCCCAAAGGTAAATCTGTAAATAAATGAGTGTTTTATAATTTCTTTCGCATTCTGAATTTTGACCTAGAGCTTCCAGGTAGCTTTTAATAAATAAGTAATACCCAGTTAAATACTGAAGAATCTGTTGTTTGTGCTGTTTTCGCATCACAGCAGGGATGAGGGGAGAGGTGATAGTTGGGTACTGTGTTCCGTCTAAGCTGTGGAGTCTTGTGAGCAACAATTCTACTTTGTGAGCTAGTGGCATTAAAGTTATGAGCGAGCAATTTGGCTACTGCATACATTAGTTTGCTCTGGAGCCATCATTCCTGAGCTAAGACAAAAATGTGTGAGCCAGAGGCTAAAAACCTGTGAGCTAGCTCACACTAACTCAGCTTAAAGGGAACACTGGTTGGGTGCTAAATAAACTAAAGGAATGCAGTACGCAGTGGGGAGAGAAAAGGGCTAGGCCAAATGAATGAATGAATGAACTGGAACACAGAGGGTCTGGATCTGGTTTATAGAGAGAGGGCATATTCATATTTTTTGTTTGTTAGGGTATTACTATGTGCAAATGTCCCTACAAACAGGTTAGGCATAACAAGCAGTTTTTGCTAGGTAAAATAAAGGTTCTAGGAGCTTGCAAAGGCAGCTTTGGAACAAGACAACAGGTGTGCTTACCATACTTAAAGAAACGAGAAATACTGGAGTCTTTTTTTTTTTAAAGGAATTAATTAATGGTGCCATTTGCCTCTAGTGCTTTTTGCTTAGCTTTTTTTGGTGTGTGTGGAAACGCAGGTTTTCAGTAGAGAGGCACTGACTAAGAATGTCATTCTTTTGAAGCAATTGGAAAGTGAGAATTTGTCCAAAAGGTATTTCAATGATGCTGGGGATGTCATATGAATTCATAAATAATCTATACAACTGAGGTCTTTGGTGGGGAAGAGTGCCGCGATGGCACCACTCACCAGCATTATTGTGTGTTGCCGTGGAGACAAGCTCCCAGAAGCATGAAGGCTTGAGAATAAAGAGCAAAAAAACTGGAATCGACACACATAGAAGCAAAATGTATGTGTGTTTTTTTCCCTGTTGGATGACCATTTTAAAATATATGGACAATGTGATGCCCAGAATTTTTACACTAGTGAAAGTAATAATAACATAAATAAAAACAAAAGAGAAAATATGTTCGAAATTAATACTACTTATCATGCTTTGAATAAAGCAATCTCTGAGAACTGGATCATCTGCATTTTCCCCCACCACAGTTTGAAAGATTTAAAAAAAATGTTCTAAATGGTGGATTCATAAGGAATTTGCTAGATTTTAATCCCATAATGCAAAAATCATCTTTCTTTTTCAGGCTGATTTTTGGTTTCTTGCTTTCTAATTTATATCATGTGGATGTGAAAACAGTTTTAAAAACAAAATGGGTAAGAGTGGAATTAAAGCATAAAACAGTGTAAAGGATAAGCTCCTGTGAAACTCTTGCTCTCACCAAACTCTGGGGCTTTTCAATGAGATAATGAAAGCCAAGGAAATCATTAATTAATTGGACACTACATTTAGGGTGAAGTTGAGAGAGAGAGAGAGAGAGAGAGCTCGCAGCATTATAGCACTACTGTTAGCCATAGGATGAACTTGACTGTGCAACTGAAATGACAGATGTACACATCACTGGACCTAAAGCTGAGCTGCCACTTGCCCCTCCCTGTGTTTCAAGGTGGCTGCCCCACCCCCTTTATATGCTTGTAAGAGAGAAGAAAAACAATGTTGTTAAAGAAGCCAAGCTGGAATGAATACCCAGTGCAGAAAAGCCCACTGTGAGGTAGGTTAAACTGAAAGAAAATGACAGGTCTGCTTCAAGGTGTGCAACAAGTTGAATCTGAATTTCTCAAGGCCCAAGTTGACAGTCTTAACTATTATGCTAAGCTGGTTCACACATTTACCCATATATTCATCACCTTACTAATTAAAATATTATTGTCTTTTAACATTTTTAACAGTTAAAAACTTTAAAAAATGAGAGGGAGGAGGGACAGTTTTCTTGAAAATTTCAAGAGGGGATCAGCAATAAGTGCTCTGCATAGCTAGCTTCTGTTGCAAAAATGTGGCACTAATTTTTCCAGAGCTTGGCCTTTGAGAGGAATACGAACATTTGAACTCAAGTCAGTATGGACACTTTTCCAGATCAATTCTGCCTTTCTGTACATGTTACATCTGTCATCTCCCTTAAGGTTCCAAATGTGTTGAATTAAAATTGGACTTCAACAGAGGAAGTAATAGAAGTCTGTCCTCTGATACCGATGGAACTGCTTCTGGGATAGAACCAGAACATTCCACAATCCAGCAAACTCTGGATTAATTATAAAAATAGTATTTGGTAGAGAACTGGGGTTGCCTATGGAAATGCCAAACTTTGCATTTATAATTATCTCCCGTGAGGCATAATTGAGGATTTCTTTGATTCTTTGCTTTGCCCATGTCTTTGGTGTATATACACAAGCAAACCCTCCTAACTACACCGGTCCTCTATGCAGTCGAGATATACAGAGTGGATTGCTTGATCTATTTCAGACCTCATAATCTCTCCGGAGTTTTGGTGGTCCATTCCTAGGTCTACCAGTTATTTTTCAGAGTAGCATCTTGTGGATCTGCTCATCCCTAGGTCTGAAGTATACTGTTATTTACTGGATTCAGGTGGGTAGCTGTGTTGGTCTGAAGCAGCAGAACAAAGTTTGAGTCGAGTGGCACCTTTAAGACCAACTAAGTTTTATTCACGGTATAAGCTTTTGTGTGCGTGCACATTTCTTCAGAAACGATCATTTACCAGCTTATTCCTCCATCTCACCTCTAGCTGCAAGCCTATGGACTAACGGACACCAGTGCAGACAAGTGTCTGACATGAGGTTCATGTAGGCAAAGCCTTATTTAGAGCACCTGCATGCTCTTTGCTTCTTTGACCCACCTCTAGCATGGTACCCACCCTCACCAGTGCAAGTTAGAGACCCTCTTGACTGGAAGTGACCATGATACTACTCTGGCTGTTCAAAGAATTATAGAGTTGGAAGGGACCTCCAGGGTCATCTAGTCCAACCCCCTGCACCATGCAGGAAATTCACAAATACCTCCCCCCCACACCTGCAGTGACCACTGTTCCATGCCTAGAAGACGACAAAAAAATTCCAGTATCTCCAGCCAAATTGACCTGGAGAAAAATTGCTTCCTGACCCCAATGTGGCGATCAGCATTTCCCTGGGTGCGTTGCTAAGGTTTTTTCTTTCTTTCTATGTAACTAAATCTAAAATATAGTTAGAGCCGGGTAATCTTATGTTTTACCTGTTATAGGTGTGCTTACCGTTATAATTATTATTATCGCTGTTCTATTGTTGTTATGCTGAATTGTTAATGCTCAAGACTGTTGTCATAAGAGCAGAGAATTAAAGTAAATAAGGTACTCTCCCTCTCTCCCAACATTTTGAGTGTGGAATTTTTTGAGTGGGGATTTTTTTTTTTTGCCTCATTTGCCCAGTTAGCTGTTAGCCAGGGTTTTTTTCTCACCTATTCTACTCTAATGGTTATGAGAGTGGACCCACCAGAGCCTTAGGGTAGTTGCCTTAGGTATTGATTTTATCTTATGG